TCCCTACAGGTTATCAGAATGAATAGTTTCTTTATATTGCTGTGTTTTTTAATTTTCAGAATAAAATTGTTTTGAAATTATCTTAACAACCACTACCATTTTAAGAAATGGAAGCATTACTTTCCAAGAGTAAACCCAAAGCATTTAGATACTAAATGCTTCTAAAAATATTCTTAAGAAATTTGGAAAAATTGATACATTTACAAAAAATATCGGTGTCTCAGGATCTGCCTTATTTTCTTTCCCTTTTCCAAAGAGTTTCAGACAAGACAAGAGGTGTAGGGTTTTGGGGTGATTTTTTTTCAGACACTTGTTGCAGCAACTGTCAAAGCACAAATTTTTTCATGCTTTTTTGCTCAGAGAAAATGGCCAGGGTCACCTTTCCATCTTTCCACAAAAGTCATTCAGTAATGAACTTGGCTTCTTGATGTCTTTCCCCTCTGCCTGCTATTCCACCCCTAGCTTTTAAGACTTGTCACACTGTTCTCCAACAGTTTCAGAGCTTCACTTCTATTGTGCTCCAAGCTTCACATGGATGTTGAAGGCCAAGGTAATTTCACAGTACTCAACTAGTTGGCTGTGATTACAAACTTGGTATCATTCTCAAGGATAAGCTTGCTTCCTGAGCTTCCAGTATTTATATAATGCTTCACCCACTCCCTAGCATTACAGCTTTATTGAGGATCTCCGATGCAAAGACCCAATATGTGCTTATGTTTTGCATCCACACGCAATTAGGAGTCTTGTTATCTTAAAATACTAGCATCCACATACTAGAAAAGTCCTTTTTAACTGCTACAGCTTTATGAGACTAATCTCACCACTCTGCATTTTGCTAGTCCATGCTAGCCTTCACCATTTCCTTTTACGTGCTAGCTACATGAGGATTTTTGATTTAGGAGCCCACTTCCTGTTGACTTTCCAAGAAAAATCCTCTTGCATAAAAATTCTGCTATGTTCATCATCAGGAATAGGGAGGGGAAAATATATATGCAGCCACAGAAATCACTTGCCTTTATACCAGCTGAAAATTTATAGTCCTATTCCTAATATATTTTGGAGTGACAAAATAGGCAAAATAACTTGCAAAGTGAAAGAAGTACTTCCAAGAGGAATCACATCTGAGAAGTCAGACATACCTGGAGAGACTGTGAGTTTGGTTCCAGCTCCAAATGTAACCTTGCCATAACTTGCAGTATTACACTGTGACACTATGCTTTGCAAAATGGTGCACTAGTATGCACATAGGCTGGACTAAGACTTGAGAACATGGCAATGCAAGATTCTTATTGCAATAATCTAACCAAAGTTATTGGCCGTCTCCTCAGCACATATAGTGAAATAAACACTTCCTTCAGCCACATTCCTCTGCCTGCTTAATCATTCCTGACACTCACTAGTCTAGCTATTGTCCACCACCTGGTTAGTCATCTGTTTATTCTTTCCTCTGTCTCCACACAATAGCAGCATCTGTCAATCAGTGTGTGCATATACAACTTTCCAGACATTGTTTAGAAGCTTTCTGACTGCTGCTGTTAAGTCTCGCCAGTCTGCTACTTGTCTGCTCTGTTCCCTTTCAATGTCCACCCTCCGTTGCAGGCTGCACGTCGTGTTGTATTAATTAATACTTGTTGGGTTCCACTCTGAGGGGGGGTGCCACTACCAAACATGAGCTTGTATCATGCCCCGAGGTCTGCACAGTGGTTCAGCACACAACAGAAATCTCCCTTCCATCCTCTCCAGAACAAGGTCATCCACAACAGC